AAGGTCACAGTTTCACATTGGAAATATCAACCAGACTTACGCTAGTGACATGAATTCATGCTGGCCGATAAAGTATCTACCTCGCGACAAGACGCAAACTAGTTAACTAATGGCAAGGTTTCCCTTACTACCATGACGTTAAACGCTTTCTTATCTTGCGCCCCTAGGCCAGTTAGAATCAAATGTACACTGGACCGCAACCCATCGGCCAGTGATAGTGAGTTCGATGCAAGGTTATCGCGTTTCCGAAGATATCCATCGGTACAAACGGTTGCGTGAAGGTAGTTACGTTATCCAAGCAGTTCCGCCGGAGGCGAAAGAGAAAGGAACCATGAGCTTAACTTCTCGAGGCATTTACCGGTAACTAGTTAAAGGAGGACAATATTTTATTGGCTTTCCCGTTTGTTAACGTAGTGGGGAGGGCGAATTAAAGATTTGTGGTAGCTTATGGATACCGCACGTTCTGGAATGTAGGCAAGCTATGGGGTCTTGATAGAAGACTGAGAGGGTGGTTGAAGAATAATAGCTACCAGACAGTGGATTGCAACCTCGGAGTTGAGAGCAAAGACTAAACATGCCAACGGGGTAATGTATATAATTATTATTTTATTCGAGGGTTGATTTTTAAGAACATAATTCCATCAATCAATCAATCAACGTTCAAAAAACCAGAAAGGTTATAATCAGAAAAGAAGAAAAGGGAAAAATTCTCATCACCTAAACATGTTTCATCAACTAACTAGTCCAGCCAATTCCTGGGTGAATCATAGCATCATTGCATAATGTGATATACGATTGCGCCCAACACCATCACTACAATCGAGAATGATGGCGACGCGGCTTTAGCTCCACCAGTGTAAATTGGGGGGTAATATCCACCGTTGCCACCCATCTTTGGGGTATCTGATGGTCTTGGAGGAAGAGCACCAGTTGGAGCGCTTGGGTGACCTGACTGGCTGCCAGAAGTTACTGGTGGTGGGTAGCCGGAGCTATTACCTGGTGCTTCTGGTGGTGACTGGGTCTCTGGTACTTGTGTTGGACTCACGGGCTCCGATGTCATTGTAACCGGGTAAGTGATGGTCATAGTTGTCGGAGTGGAAGCACATTTGGTACAAACGGTGACTGTGGTAGTCCATCCCATTCCCGGCGGGGGTTGAGGGTTACCCGCAGT